TTTTTTTTGCTTTAGAAGCATACTCACCCTCTTTACAGGCTAATCAGAAAGTGCTGCCTTTTTCAGATGTCTAATTTTTGTGCAATTTCATATTGAAATTTTGATACGCAAACGTGTAAAAATGAATCTGGAAATTTCACGAAAAATATACATCTGAAAAAGGCAGCACTTTCTGATTAGCCTATAAAGAGGGTGAGTATGCTTCTAAAGCAAAAAACCCTACAAACTAAGCCTAAATGTGAAAATCAAAATTTGGCTCCGTCGACACGATTTTTGTACATGTGGATGTGTGGCCTATGTTTACGGAGGCAGTCCAGTAAATAGGCCACATTTATGGGGCTAGGATGTCACCAGATGACAGCTATTTACAGGGGTTTCCAGAGATGTATTATTTTCAACGACCGTCTTCAAAAAATATATTTACTATTTTTTTGAAATTGGGTACCCATCTTTCTGACTCACCCTGTAGATGTAATAGCTGGCTATGTTGACATATTACAGGAATGTGGTGAAGAGGGCAAGGCGAGTCTGACGAAATGCAACTGTTGTCAGATCAACCCACGTACTGCACCATAAATGCCTTGGTTTACATGTCACCAATTTCAAAACCAGGGCCATATAATGTAAACAATTTTTCAATGCAATCCTTGAAAGTGCACCTTACGGTGTCCCATTTAACCCCATTTTTCATTTTGCTATTTTTTCAAGGTTATTTTTTGGTGCCTTTATAGCCTCAATGTTACAGTTATTTAGTTATTTCAGCACCAGATGTTGGCAGAATTTTGAATATAAAACTTTCCCAAGATCGTTTTCACACACAATTTTCAAAACAACAGAACTCGGTGATGCACGCATAACAATAGGAATGTATACAACATATCAATGGAAATTAAGCCAGTGTTAATTCTCACTAGGGGAGCAAGTTAGGGGAGGGAGTGGGGGCTGGATGTTAAAGTGGGGGTGGGGGGGGGGGTTTGCCTAATTTCTGTAGCATCCGAGGGGGGGGGGGAACTGTGGGGGCGATTTTTAATTGGAGAGGGGAGGTGTGCAACCCCCTCCCCCCCCCCCCCTTCCTCCCCATGCAACCCCTTGGCTGCGCCGCTGGTTTTAAGCCACTGATAAACATCAGCTGGTTTTAAACACATTTTCTTTGAACTGTTTCGGTGACTTGGTCCAACATATAAAAAACGAAGCCTTATAGCTTATATTAGTGCAGAATCAAAACAAGTTTGTTGAAGGCAACGGCTAAACTAAGACCCATCTCCCTCAATGAAGTAGGGCTGGGAGTTTACGAATAATAGGGTAATCGGGTATCCGATAAACACATGGGCTGGATTGTGTTTGATTGAATATCCGTAAAAGAGGACAGGGATGATGGTGGGTTTGAACCATTCAATTCTGAGCAAACCAGAAAGTCACACACTATACACTCTTCCTCACATACTCATCTTAAGGTAAAATGCAATACAACAGAATGTGACTGACACAAAATGATCACACCAGAAACAATTGTGAGATACTAACATCATGTATTTTAATATGGAACCTGAATGCAATCCATATGTCTACTCCATCAGGCTATTACTGGGCAAGTCCAAGAATTCACACACGCTACGTCCCAGGAACGCTTAACCCTCAAAAAAGCAATGAGATCAGTGTTTTGTTTTATTTTATTCTACTGTTAGACATCTGAAAGGAGAATACCGTACCCACATGAATTTGTTGTTATTCTTTGTGATGAAGAAGACATGGTATGCTATGTATGGGACCACAAGGAGACCTTTTCTTGGACTTGCCCTACTTGCAAAAAAGGAGAGTTTTCTAGTTCTAGGCCTATACCGGTATAAATGGAAACAAGTCTTTTATTTAAAAGTATGTAAAGAGAAAATTTCATCATTTTCAGCCACTGCAAAGCATAGAAAGTGAATTTGACACCACACTTCATTAACATCCAAACATGTCAGAATATTGTTGTTTTTTAATTATATGAAAAAATATGAAAAAAAATTACAATGCACGTACATGTAGTCAGTTACTCTTCGTGCTTTATTTGAAGAAAAAAAAACAACCATTGGTTTCATATTTCCCTCAGTAGTTTTAATGTTCAATTAATATAATTCTGAAAACATTTTCTGTAACCACCTCCCCCCTTCAATGCTGGGTCCAATCAGTTATTCCTTCATCTTTTTGCAGTTTTTAAAATTGATCTTCCCACCAACCTTTGCACCAATGTTTATGGGTCATTCCATGAAGTTCAAGAGGAACAGGCCATAATTTTCTGAGGTCTGATTATAAAACAGTTTTTTCTTTGTTATGGGATGGTTATTTCTAAAACAAATATCATTTGACAATAAGGCTATAAGATAAGCTTTTAAATGATTATAACCATGCTTGATGATATTTAAAAATAACTTTCATACCCAAATTCTGTAAATGTTATGGCGTCCGGCATAAAAAAAAATGAGGAAAAAGTGTGACAAAGCAACCTACAGTTCAAAAATAACTCATTTTGAAAAGAAAACAAGTGGACTGGAGTTGAGGTTTTACACAAATTATAGCAAGCAGATGTACCCTTTCTATTGAACAAAAATATCAGATGTTAAAATGTTTTGCCAAAATGGCATGCACAATTTAAAATGGGTTGTGGATGTAACATATGGTGTCCCGTGTTTCATATCATGTTACATCCACAAAAGTTTTCTTTTTGCAGCAATTTTGGTCGGATTGACCCCAATATTTCATGATTGAACTGGTACATGTATTTGTAAAATACAATGTAATGTGATCGTAGTCTATGCAAATAAATGTTTTGGCCAAATATGAAGAAAATCTTATGCCTGTGGGCACATGGTGTCCATGTTACATCCACAATCGGTTGACATGGTCATGCCTAAAATAAGTATGAAAATCATGACCTGCAATCTGCAATTGCCCTTGAAACAGAGATTTGGAAACAACATTTCTAAACACAAACAACATTTAGTTCCATTCATATCGAGGTGAAGAATACCGCATTGTGATGTAGTGGTGTCCCACATGTTACATCCACAACCATTATTTTTTGTTGTTATTGTTGAAAATAACAATTTTAGCATTCTTTAAAAGTATATAAGTATGGATATTATTAAATGAAGCTATTTGATGATAAACTCAAGTTTGGTGTGAATTTGAAGCATTTGAAGTATTATGAACAAAACAAGGTTTGGATGTAACAGGACGGTAGCCTCCGGTTACATCCACAACTTCTCCATGGTCATTACATGTAAATACATAATTGTGTACAAATTTACCAACTTTCCAAAATCATGTGACTTAACTTTGAATGAATTGTTAAACCACAATGTATGGGTTATCAAAAAATGCATAATCAAAACTTGTACAAGTAATTTGAAAATTTGACCCCAATGTCACACTTTGTATCTCAACTTTGTGGAATGGCCCATATACAAATATGAACAAAATATAAAATAAAAATTCTTAAAAACATTATTTCCAAGAAAAGTCACTACTTTGTGGTTGGAATAATCCCAAACAACTCTATTAAATGTCCTACATAAGTACAATAATATTCAGGCAGCCTAATAAACAAAATATAACATAAACATTCTTCAAAAAAATTTATTTACAAAAAAGTCCCTAATTGGTGGTTGGAATAATTCCAAAACTACTCAGGGTGATAGTTAAGTTTTTGAACCATTATACACGCACAATTCAGCCACTATGGCCAATGAGTCTCAAAAAATATAATTATATTTACAAAATATACATGTGTTTTCCATCTTGGAATAATCGCATAACTTCTCATTGTTTAAACTTCTCATTGTTTTAACGTGATACATCAATACAACTGTTGTCAGGCCAACAAGTCTCAACTTGGAAATGGACCAAACCACCCACACAGCCTCAGAAATCAACAAATACCATATATCCACTGGGTTTTCAAATTAGTGATGTTTCCATGCACACGCGTAAAGACCTGAGGTCTACAGTAATTTTGTTTGCCACTTCAAAAAGTTTCCAGATGTGGAACCTCCACTTATTCACCAACATGGAGATTGTGGTATACCAGGGATCTTATTTGCAAAAACTATTGTTGTTTTAAGAAATAGTTTAAGTCGGAGAATAGACTTGGAACTGTAGATTTGTGCAAGATTCGCCCCGTCCATTCTTAGCACGAATCTACAATTCCTTGTCCATTCTCATTGACCCAATCAGCAAATCATAGACACTCTAACAAGTCCCGGGTCAGATTCGACCAAAATCCAGATCAGATTTGACCTGACAATTTTCCGGGACAAAATAACACTTCTCTGAGTCACCTTTCTGGCCATTTGACCAAGAACATTGTCATTTTGACCCAGAAGAGCGTAAGGTCCAATCTGACCCGGATGCAGCTAGGGTTATATCTAACCGGACTTTAAGAGTGTCAGTTTGACTTTGATGACAAACTACAGTGTCATATGTAGAGGGTGAACAGCTAATTGTCTTACACACAGTGTGACTCTACTGACCATCTGAATCGAGAATGTGTTATGATGTTTATCTCTTAAGATAATATGCAACATTTGCTTTTGCTGTAATTTTTAGAAATGGATAGATTTGTGGGGTTAGTATTTTATGGCAAGAATTGTTACACTGACTTGTTTGAAGTTTCTGTGTTCTTAGATGCAGGGAAAAAAAACCCAAAACCAACCACGTTCTTGTAGTCTGGTTCCCTGACCCCACTGTTCATAGGTGTGTAATGGATTGCAATTATTCAGACTAACTAAACATAATAAATTGGGGGAAGTTTAAAAAAAAAAAAACACTTTTTTTCCAACGCTGATACAAAAATACCACTTTTCTTAAAAATGTCAGCACACGAGGTGCCATGATTTTACAGGATGCTTAAGACTGTCATTCATTGACAGTCCAGTAAGGTTTTTCATAACAATTTGGAAGTTTTTTTTTTAAGTTTGCAAATGTTGTATATTCCCTTTAAATTTCAAACAAGCATCCTAGAATGACACATATTTTAATTATCTGTGTTTTTGTGGGTTTTTTTGTTAGGTTTCTTGGGGGTGTTTGTTTGTTTGTTTGTTTGTTGGTGTTTTTTTTCATTGCACAATTCCTGAATTTCACATTCTTCGTTATTGTTTTACGTAGATAGTGAACAGCTAATTGTCTTACATGTTGTGCGACCCTACTGACCTACATCAAGAATGTCTTACAATGTTTGCCTTTGAGAATGGTCCTGCTTAGGATTGAAACATTAGGCTCTCTAAGTTTGTTGATTTTCTTGTAAATTTCATTTCCTTTTATGGAGAATGTTATCATTTTGATATTGTTATGCCTAGTACATGTAATTCTCGAGCGAGCTTGGCGAGGGAGAATTAAAATATAACCCCAAGTGATGAAAAGAAGGACTGTAACTTATCCCATCCATCCAATGCCAAGTTGAAACAAAGATCCAACTCAGTCAGTCTGGGCATGCTACCTACAGCCAAGGCAATGTATAGAATGTCTGACTGTGTCAAATTGCACCAGCTCAGGTTCAGCTTATTTAATTGCATCATTTTGGGTAATTTCTTGGCCCACAACACAGCACATTCACCCAATGACCCGTTGTTACTAAGATCCAAGTCAGTCAGTCTGGGCATGTTACCTACAGCCGAGGCAATGTGTGGAATGTCTGACTGAGTCAAATCGCAATTGCTCAGGTTCAGCATAGTTAAGTGCATCATTTTGGGTAATTCCTTGGCCCACACTGCAGCACATTCACCCAATGACCCGTTGTTACCAAGATCCAAGTCAGTCAGTTTGGGCATGTTACCTACAGCCGAGGCAATGTGTGGAATGTCTGACTGTGTCAAATCACAATTGCCCAGGTTCAGCATAGTTAAGTGCATCATTTTGGGTAATTCATTGGCCCACATTTCAGCACATTCACCCAATGAATCGTTGCTACGAAGATCCAAGTCAGTCAGTTTGGGCATGTTACCTACAGCTGAGGCAATGTGTGGAATGTCTGACTGTGTCAAATCACAATTGCCCAGGTCCAGCTTATTTAAGTGCATCATTTTTGGCAATTCCTTGGCCCACACTGCAGCACATTCACCCAATGAATTGTTGCTATTAAGATTTAAGTCAGTCAGTTTGGGCATGTCACCTACAGCCGAGGCAATGTGTTCAATGTCTGTGCTCTGAAGTTCGCACCTTCTTACTTTTAGTTTCTCAAGGCTTGTCAAGTGTTTGATATGAGGGGCCCATACTACAGCTCTACCTCCCAATGTATGGCAATGATATATGTCAAGACTGGTCAAGAGATAGTTGCATTTCAGTGATGACAGGAATTTCTCAAGCTCACCCTTCCCTAAAGTACAGTCGAGCGTCAGACCCCTGAGGTTTTCCATGTAACCCATGGCAAAGGCTAAACCACTGACTGAAGACACCTTAGAGACCTTCATGGTTTCAATGCATGCCAGTTGAGACACCTGGAATTCTGACCTACAGATGATTTCAAGAAGGTATATGAGAATGCGGAAATCAGTATTGTTATCCACCTCGATATCTGATGGGATGAGTGAGTTGCTGGTGAGACACCGTGGGACCTTTTTGGATTGGCTTTCAAAAAAACATTGTCTACTGATAGCTTGTGTAACAGCTTTTTGGTACATGCACCCGGGCTTATTTTGCTCCTTGAATTTACGTTCAAGCAAGGTTACAATGTCTGTCATACACTTTTTATTGTCACCACAACAAAAACGTAAAAGGAACTCATTTGAAACAATGCTCTCAACTGACTGGCAAAGTTGCCTTAATTGTTTTTGAAACTTTCCCAGTGGTACAACTTTGTACGCCGTACGCTTTACAAATCCCCGGCTTGACAAATGTACCCTTTGCAAGTATTTCCCAGCACAGTATTCCTGAATAGTCTTGTGCATGAATTGTATGTTGTTGTGGCATTTGAGGTTTTTGATAACTCTCTCCTGGGTTAGGATGCCCGCTTTCAGTGCCAGGTCCAGCGCATTTTGTTCAAACTCATCTTTTTGAAATGAGAAATTCTGGTCGGCACTTATGAATCCACTCAGTGCAGTTTTTCCTACAGCAATCACTGTTTTTGATGCATTTTCAGAGCTATATCCTTTTCTTGTAAACATGTTATCAACTGCCTCAGTGAAGAGGCGTGAAGTTGTTTCGGGGAGTTGTTTTTTCTCCCTCCACAACAAACATATGAGAAGAAGAAACATTGGATTACTTGCAAAATCATGCACCGTGTTTGACTTTGCAATGTGTTGAATTAGTGCATTGCCACTATCAGGATCTTTGTAATAGAATTTCCGAATGTATTCATTGACATCCTCATCAGTAAACCCCAGAACCTCTATGTGTGTGCAAGGATTTTGGACAAGTGATTTTGACATCAGTGTTTCAAGATGAGAGGGGCGAGTTGCAACACAGATGAAGCAATCCCTGTATGCTGTTCTATTGAGTGCTTTGAGGATAGACCCGAATGAGGCTGCATCAAATGTTTTGGTCCTCATTTCATCAAAACCATCCAAAAGAATCAAGACCTTATTTGAGTTGGCCTGAATGAATTTATGAAGTTCAATTTTGGTTACTCCAGATGTTTCGCCAAGAAGTTGATCAAAAATGGAAGCAACTAGATCAGATTCTTGAGACAGGGCACACATCTTTAAAAGAAAGACAAGCTTGAATCTCTTCAGGAATTCACATGTCTCATCAACCCAGTCATATGCAATCTTGTCAAAAATGGTTGACTTCCCGACACCACCAATGCCAAATAAAATAGCACGATTGAACTCAGTCTCGGGCCAATCTTGAAATATCTTGTCATACTCTGTAGAATATACATTTTCGTCAGAGTATTCTTCTTCTACAGAACCTTTCTTTGTTCTAACCCGCAATTTAGTGTAAATGCCAACAATGGGTCTTTGATCGCCAGGAACCCCAGGGTTCAACTGAACATAACTGCGCGTTGTCTTGTACCATTTCCTCAAAATGTCCCTGGTCTTGTTACCAACTTCTTGGTTGAGATCCCCCACTCTTGGTTCTTGGTCTGGTCTCCGACTCTGTGGAAGTACTCCTGTTGAGGTCAAACAAGCAACATGCACTAGTAAGCAGGAGGTCACAGGTTTGTGATTTTTCTCATAATCACTCGGGACTACACTGAGTATACAGTGTTTATAAAATACGTCTGTGAAGGAAAAATCCAATATTGAATGTATTATTTCACTGAAACACTGTTTCTGAAATAATTGAATAGTCTTCCTCTACAGAGGCAAATGTGTAAAAGAAGTGGTGACTTGGGATTTACAGCTTGTCAGTAAGGCAGTGTACAAAATAAAAATACCCAAAAAATTTAACACAAAGAATGTTGTGGCTTTTACACTTCTGTTGGACACAAACTTGCGCAAGTTGGATTAAATTCACATTTTTTTTTCACAAATAAAAAATAAATTAAGACAAAACTGGTAACTGCAATGTGTAGGCTTTAAAACAGTGGATTCATTATTCCATTCATTCATTTATGCAAAATTAATACATGTATGTGACTTCTGTAAAACTATCTTCACTTTTTTTCGTTTTCTTTCAAATGTGACACACAATAGGGGGCGCCATTTGGCATGGGTACATAAAGAATTACAAGACTTTACCCACCATAGAGCCCTCCTCAGTGTGCTCACCATAGCCCTATATCCTATCACAAACTGGTTTATAGTTGTAGCGAGAAATTGGTGACTCTCTCTCGCATTACCAGCAATCCGCCCTTTGTGTCCCTGATTGTGTAGTATATCACCTCCACCCCCCCCCCCCCAATACATTAACACCTGATCTAATATATCAATTAGTGTAACAAACAAGATAATATTTACCTGCTCCATCCGACGCGGAGCTGTAGAAGTTGACTACATTTGAACCAACAATGGTAGGATTGTTGCTACCACTGACTGTGCCGATCTTTCGGATGGCTCCAGTTCGTTGTGGGGAATCTAAAATCAAAAATATTACAATATCTCTTGAAAGGATACTGACAAAATGATTCATGTACTTCATCTCTAGATGTTATCCGTGCTTTGAAAACTGTGACTTTTAATGAAGATATATAAGGCCAAACAAAAACAATGGTGTGTTTACAGTAACCCCACCGACCTGGGATTTTTGCAGCCAAACTGCCGACCTCAAACTTTGTATTGCCATTTTGCTAGTTGACAATTTTAAATTAGGACTGTGCATCGGAACCTAATTTAAATTAGGGCTGTGCATCGGAACTAGTGCTAGCACTAGCCGACCCTAGCTTGGGCTTGACGTATGTCACAATGTCATATCAACAGCTAGCTAGCTAGCCTGCAGTGCAGGTTCACTGCATTGATCTCTGTATGGATAAATAGTTCGCCATTCGGGTCTGAGACGACAAAGCAGAACACTTGCAGCAGCTGTCGAATATATTTTTTTCTGAGCAAAACTGTTCAAATTATAGATTCACGATCCCTCATAGATACATGTAGATGTGATTCGGGTTTTCCTGTTGACTGATCTGACTGACTGTATACGACGGAGCTCTGATACCGGTATGATCCGCATTTTTGCAAAATAACCTGATTGTCACAGGAAAGGATAATAATTAATATGTTTAAAATATTTACAATTTTTTTGTTTTAATTAATAGAAGTTAGCTGATTCAAACGTACATTCTTTGAATTTGAAAGCCCCATCTTCCACTTTTTAAATCACATTATTTCAAACTTCCCTGCACTGACTGAAAATCCTGGTGAGACCGCTGTTTGTTTTACCTCCACGGTTACACAGAACCTAAATGGGGTCTATGATCATATCTTTGCCTGAATGTCAAGTTTGTATATATTGAATGTAAACCTACAAAATATAACACGGGGATGGCATATTTCATGTATTTTTTAAAAAGAGGAATTAATTGTATCGGATTGAAAATAAATCCTTGAATAATTAGTTCCTTTTCTTTTGGGTATAAATAACTCTTTTGGGTCTTCATAAAAACTGTATTATTGGGTACACCACCCATACGGAATCCCTGGCCAATTTGTTTTTCTAAAATGCACAATTTTAATTTGTATTATTGTGAGGAATTCATTGAATGTAATCAATGATTCTGATGATGAAATAAAATTAAAATCAGCGCCAACTTCCAATTCTAAATTTTAAGGTGTTTTATTATTGAACTGTTATGCTGTGTATCTTGAAGACTGAATAGATGAACTTCAACTCTGGGTCAGTCTGAAGTTTTCTTTGGAGTATGATCACCCATTATGCACTAGCTCGACTTGGAATCAGGAAGCTCTTTGTCTCTCAATACATTTCTAATACCCAGAGACTCACAATAAACTCCGACAGGCTGGCATTATTCAAAACAGATTAACCTTGCGCAAACAGTTTGATTTATTTTCTAGTTTTTTTTGTTTTTTGTTTTTAAACATGAATTGTGAGTTTCGGCTCTGTTGTTAATGTTATGGAACACCTTGCAACACTGCCTACCAAGTGAAAAAAACATTGACCCAGCAACCCGGAAGGTTCATCAGTCTGGGTTAAATGCAAGTAAATGTAAAACAACTGAATGCAAGATGAACATACATGCAATAGGCCTATACCGTCTCAATTTGAAAATTGCTGAAATACATGCACTGATCTATCGAGGTCAAAATTGTGCCTGCTCTTGAGGGGGGGGGGGGGGTCACCTCTGACAAGTGAAGTGTGGGAGATTTGACCCCCTGATCTGTATTGCCATGTTATGATATTTAAAATTATTTTTAGAATCAGTACAACTCTGATTTCACCAGTTTACAGCTTGAGTCTTTTATGAATTATGAACAGAACAGAAATCAGAACATGTACATGTTTAGCATGGGCATCGCGGGATGTACCCGATGTTCCCCAATACCGATGTTCCCCACTACCGATGTTCCCCGAAATCCTTAGGATTAGGGTTAGGGGTAGGGCTAGGGTTAGATTGGTAGGGTTTTTTGGGAACATCGGTATTGGGGAACATCGGTATTGGGGAACATAGGTATGCACACGGCGTTGCGAGGGGGGGCAAGGGGGGCAAATGTTGGGGGGAATGTCCCTGCCTACCTCAAAAAATGATCAATCGGGAAAATGCTGGAAAATATAGGGACTTTGGGGAAAAAAATGTGCTTTGTCCCCCTCTAGAAAAAATCCTTGAGACGCCCATGATGTTTAGTGAGTTTCAAACATTGCAAAAAAACACACAAATTCAAGAACTGAAATGAAAAAAAGAAGAAGACAAAATAACATTATTTTCGCACCTACCTATCTGGCATTTTTTTTTTAGGCTGTTACCGTAAACAGGCCATTTATTTTGTTTGGCCTAACATGTATAATTATGAAAAATCTGACTGTCCCCAAAACAAGTTGAAACCTGTCGACATACAAACAATTTATCCTGGAGTGAGGTGAGGTACGTAGGTGAGGTAGGATTGGGGGGGGGGGGAGGGGGGTTGAGTTGGAAGGGACGAGGGGGACTTCATGCCCCTCCCTCCTTCATAGATCCCATGCAAATGCTCTAGCTACTAAATGTACTCACCTGTTGTAGCTGAGGGGGTGGGTACCTGTGCCTCCTGTTGCATCATGGTAGGGACATCAGTCTGGCAGGCTGCTTCAGATTGTGCAGCCATGGTACTTTGGATCACCCAGCCACAAATGGAAGTCCTGTTTGTCAATGATAAATGAAAAGCTGTAACACACTGGTCTTCATATTCCAGCTTCAATCTCATTCTTCAGCATGAAAACTTGTACCTACAATGTCTTTTATGTTTAGAATAAAGACTATAAGTTTGTATTTAATTCAGCTTGCACATGAATAAAGCCATGCGTACATGGTACATTTTGTGGTCTCGATGGATCACGAGGGTAAAATCTGCGACCTTGGCATCCGAGACCGAGACCGAGACCAGCACTTTCAAGACTGAGACCAGCCCATTCGAGACCAAGACTCTGATAGGATGAGACAGAGACAAGATCAAGACAAGACCGAGACCGAAAAAAGTGGTCTTGAGTCGCTGGTAGAAACTGCTCCAGACTAATGCACAGTTGACCATCAGTCAGTGAGAGAGGTAAAATGCGACAGTGAAACCTCTTAATTATAGGTTACCCTGATGTTTAGTATAATCCATGAAACCAACAAATTAAGAACCCAAAACGAAAGAAATGAACCATTGCTGTGGCAAAACTTACAGTTAAGTTTGAAGCAGGTTGATTCAGAGACATCCAAGGCGACACTGAAGCACTGCAGCTGCCACACCCAACAATCGCATGACCAATTGACGGAACTACATTATGCAAATTAATCTCTCGATAAGTGTCCATATATGGCATTGACTCAAACCTTACAAGTAAATGATTCACAGCTAACATTGATATTCTGTCACATGCAAGCAGGTTGCACCCAATGAAACAAAACATGCACTTTCCATATTTGTATCTTGTCCTTATAAGTCTATTTTCGTACTTTCAAAAAAATAAAAGGATGTTTTAAATTCTGGCAAATCGCGCATTGATATTTTATATTTAATATATATAAAAACTACATTTGTACCAGTAGGCCTACAGAAACACACCTGGGTTTTTCCAAAATATTCTTAGTCAACACTGAAGTCTGTTTACATGTAGTTTGGTCTGCTGTCATGGAATAGGCCTAATACAAAGTTAATAGGTCAATGGATAACTTTCTCTATCAAATGACGCACTTTCATGTGTTTACAAGTGTTATTCTTAGCTCAGCATCATTCAATGCAAATTGATTAACCTTTGAGCCTTTAGTCAACACGTATCGGTACATGTTATGCCTACACAGCTTGGTACACGTATTATAAAACATGTGATACAGCAAATACATTTAGAGTGACATATTTAAATACCAGCATTATGAGAAACTACAATAAAATGCAATTGCAAACTGCTGGAATGATTATTTGGAAGTAGGCCTACATCCTAAAACTGGCACTAATGTCTGGACCAACTCTACAAAGGCATCAAGCCTTTCACTTATGAGGAACCATTTTAATTAATAGCCAATCTGACAGTACAATAAAATTGTTACAAACATGTTGAAAAAAAGTACGTACCTAAATTTCATCTTCAACCTGTCACTTCCCTGCACAAAGCCCTGATGCTTTCACCAAGAAATCCAGCCGCAAATTAAAGACGGACATGTTTTAAAACGTAGATTTCAATTCCTCAAGTTGGAGAATCCAGCTGTTGAATAGCAGGAGGTCGTGGGTTCGAGTCCCACTCTAGTAAGCTTGCTTGCAAAGGATTTTTTTGTAGAATACTATATTTGTCACTGACAGTTTGAGAGGATTTTTCTTTTAGGATTGAGAAAGGTAGAGAGGAATATGCCTTTTGTGAATTGTGTCTTTTGGTTTCCAGCTCAGAGCCAGGTTTCAAGAAATCAGGAAGGGTCCTTACGAACAAACTAAGATATTAGGGTTCAATGACTGCAAACTGCAAGCCTGAAATGTCATCTGGGTGATTGCTGATGTCTATCAGGAAAGATTGGGCACTTGCTAATTTTTTTTGGGAACATCTGTGCTGAAAGGTCGACACGTATTTTTCACCGGACACTTGGCCTCCGTAAAATCAAATAGCGGGGTGGTGGGGGGGGGGGGGGGGGGGAGGGGGACTGGTACTATCTTCCAAAATAGGGGGCGCTCTTCAAAACCGGCCATTATGTAGCAAACTACGCATTATGTGCCCATTTTCAGGGTGCATTATTTTGTGAGGTTTTTGGGGCTTGGGTTTCATATTCCTCGTTCATATCAAAACTATCTATACCATTTTGGGAAATTGTTACTTCAAACAAATGTCTGAAACTGGAAGGGCATTTTTTTTTCCATTTATAGAGGGCGCACATTTATGCTCGAGGGGGCACATTTATGTCCACAAAAATGGCACCTGGGTAAATGGGGGGGGGGGGGGGCAAGTGCCGCCACCCCTGGGAATGAAGATTAATATTTAAAAGTTGAAGATTTAGTTACACTGTTACTTGCCAGTGAAGATTTCAGAATTAATCCGCAATCTACTTTGGGGCCAATGGGCTCAGTGTGCCGTCAAAAGAGGGCGCCCTTTTACCTAGCAACGACGTCCCATGGGCGGGACATTTCGCTGGTTGAAGAGCACGACATCAAGATAACGTCATCATGTGATCAATGCATTTTGTTCACGAATTTTTCATTCACAAGACTTCAATCTTAAAATAAAAGCATAAACCCACAAAAGGATCATAATGTGGAGAAGCCCTGTTAATCAAACAGACATAGTTTAAAAACTTTCTTGTCATTCCCAGGGACCACATTTGTATTTAAAAATACAAATGAGGTCCCTGGAGATAACAAGAAGATTTCACTTTGGTCATAATGTCATAATGCCAAGCGCGAATCCGGGGGGGGGGGGGGGGGGGGGGGGGGGGGGGGGGGGTCCGGATTCGACGCATGAGGGCGCGCGTTATGTACTGTAAGGACGTATGCGATATGCGCTGTGAGTGGATTTACTATAGGCACCGACCGAGCGCAACCCAGACTTGGCCAAGTCTACATTAAGCCCTGCATACTGCACACGTGGGCACCGTGCATAAATACCAAATTTCATTGTAACAAAACCCAATGAAAATTAGCACTCTATCTCCTTTGTTCAATTCCTCAAGCCATTTAAAAATATTAGGTTTTTAAATTTGTTTGACCATTTTATACTTTTTTGTAATATATGCGTATCTTTTTCGGCATATCAGTTTAATCGGGTGGTTTCAGTATACTCTCATAGGCAATTGAAGATTCTCCATACTTTTTTTTTTAGTTAATAAGTTATTAAGGTTTTTATGTTTGTGGATGTGGAAGGTTTTTATGTTTGTGAATGTGGTGGTTGGCGGTTTGAATCCCATTCGGACCAAAAGCTGGAAAACTCTCTCTGACGACCCAACAGTAAAATGGGTAACTGATTCATTCAGGGAAGGTAAGACGGCGAGAGGAGAGGACTGGGCACCACCACTCATATGCCGCGCCCAAGACACAGTGGACCTCTAACATCCCACTGCCCCTACGGCCAGTAATGGCTATGGGATCTTTACCTTTACCTTTATGTTTGTGGGTACATCTGTAATTCAGTGTCATGCTGCAAAATGTGGATTTTTAATTAATAAACCACATTTGAAATGAGTAAAATGACTCTTTGTGGTGAATCACGCCTATTCCTTGGTTAGCAGAGCAAAGCACTTTACAAAAAGGGTCAACCTTTGGGCCTAAAAACTTACTCTGGGTTGCTTGAGCAGTGTTCCCAGGAGTCCAATCCTTTGTGTTGAGGAACTTATCTTGGCTTCTTCATGTGCAGCATGATTGATGTCCTCTACTAGAGATATCTCATGTACGTCTAGTACACACAGACCCTGAATGCAACATGAATGTGTTGTGCCCATTCTTGAAAATCACGCATTCTCGAGAATGGGCATGCACATTCTTGAGAATGTGCAACTGGATCCTTGCTCAATCTTGGCAAAAAATAACTCTTCCAGATTGAGCGCACATTCTTGAGAATGCGCGACAAGATAACGGTCTTGTCGATGCCGAGCACCGGCTGCGCTTGGCAAGTCTAGCTGAATCCTCGTTCACTGATTCTCAATAATTATACTGTTGCAACGCAAGGCGCTGAAAAGTAGAGTGGATATGATAAGTAAAGGCGTATTGATATGGGGGGGGGGACCGGGAAAATATAAGAGACATAATAATACTAGTGCAAAGAATTCTGATTTTGGGGATAATACAAGCGGGGGGGGGGGACGTAAGAATGAAGAATGTGAAGAATGAGAATGAATACTGCGACATCCCATAGTGATAATGCTATTTCCCATTTAAATTGCCACCAATTTATTGTTCACCTCCCACCATAACGTCGCAGAGCTGGATTCTATCTAGTCAAAAGAGCAATTTTGGCAGCTTCTGGACATCGTTTTTTTCGTGGCACGCATATGATACATGCAGGGACTTGTAACTTGTCTAGCCTAAACAAAGCACTTCCCAGACTAGTTCCCAGTCTTCCGTTATAACAAAACTTCCCATAGTGGGCAGAAAAAAGCAATAATAACAGGTTTAATTTGATTCAAATTATCGTAGTTATACGAGTACAGAAGCATAGCACATTTTCTTTCCTCTTTATATGAATTGTTTCCCTTTTAACCGCTATACAATTCATTTAACATAATTATGTCGTGCAATGTTTGTTAAGATTGGGCAAAATTCATAAATTGTGCACGTGATATTCCCACCCAATCTTAAGAATGAGCGCTCATTCTTAAGAACGCGTGCTCGTTCTTAAGAATGGGCGCTCATTCTTAAGAATGCGCGCCCATTCTCGAGAATGTGCATGCCCATTCTCGAGAATGCGTGATTTTCAAGAATGGGCACAACAAATACAACACTGCATTACTCACCTTGGGTTGCTTGAGCAGTGTTCCCAGGAGTCCAATCCTTTGTGTTGAGGAACTTATCTTGGCTTCTTCATGTGCAGCATGATTGATGTTCTCTACTAGAGATATCTCATGTACGTCTAGTACACACAGACCCTGAATGCAACATGAATGCAACACTGCATTACTCACCGTGGGTTGCTTGAGCAGTGTTCCCATGAGTCCAATCCTTTGTGTTGAGGAACTTATCTTGGCTTCTTCATGTGCAGCATGATTGTTGTCCTCTAGTAGAGATATCTCATGTCAAGGGCGGATCCAGGGGGGGCCAAAGGGGGCCATGGCCCCCCCCAAAACGAAACCAATTTTTTTTTTTTTTTTAATGTGACATCGCAATAAAGGCAGGCAATGAGTACACCACCATCTTTTCCTCAAAAAAAATGGTTAAAGTGGTCAGAAATTGCCTCAGATCGCACCACAGAGCATCTAGAATCCAAATTTTTTTCGGGGCCCTGACGGGCCCCGAACCCCACGCCGTAATTTTTTAGACCCACTTTTTTTGGGGGGGGGGGGGACCAAAATTTTTTTTGGCCCCCCCCAAAATTGTGTTCTGGATCCGCCCTTGTCTCATGTACGTCTAGTACACACAGACCCTGAATGCAACATGAATGCAACACTGCATTACTCACCGTGGGTTGCTTGAGCAGTGTTCACAGGAGTCCAATCCTTTGTGTTGAGGAACTTATCTTAGCTTCTTCATGTGCAGCATGATTGTTGTCCTCTAGTAGAGATATCTCATGTACGTCTAGTACACACAGGCCCTGAATGCAAAATTTAAAAAAGGGACAAAGCCTGATAATAGTCAGCGGCGTAGCCAGTGTTTTCATCCTGGGGGGGGGGGGGGGGGGGCGGCTTGATGTTACAGTGAAGGGACGCCCAATTTAATCTGTACTGAAAGGTAGACAGGTTTTTTTTCCACCAGACACCCGGCCTTTGTAAAATCAAAAGT